GCCGGTGGGGCTTGCACGCTAAGATCTCATTAGCGGGTCGCTAGTCAGAGCCGGTGCCGCGCGAGTCTTGGTCGGAGGATTCTTCTTCGTGGTCAGCCTCTCTCGCCCGGTGCCTCCGCCGCCGCTCGAGACAGGCCCCCAACGGACAGGCCCCCGAACCCACTCGTTGCAGCCGTCGCCGGGGCGTTAGTTGCCACCATCGCATGTGGCGCCGCAGCACGCCCGAGAGCAATCGTGTCGTGCAGGAGGAGCACGGCGGTGAGTCGGAGCGCGTATGGATTCTCTCCGAGTGCGTCCTCGAGGCGCAGGAGGAACTGCGCGCGCGTGAGGAGCAGCTCGCTCTTGTGCAGTCCATGCTGCGGCTCACAGAGGCGGAGCTGGCGGCCGAGAAGCGTCGCACAGCTCAACTGTCCGCGCGCGTAGCGGAGCTCGACGACGCACTGCTCACCGCGAATCATCTTGCCACGACTGCGCTCGACCAGTCTGAGGAGGTGCTGCGGAAGACCCGCGCAGGCGGTGGCACGGCGGTGTCCTCAGCAGAAGAAGGAGGGGGCGGAGCGAGCGGAGGCGATGGTGGCTCGCCAAGCCAGGGGGCGGATGCGCGCGTCTTCGAACCGCCGCCCATCGGACAAGATGGAGCCCCGCCGCCGCCGCCGCCGCCGCCGCCGCCGCCGCCGCCACCGCCGCGCCCGCCGCCGCTGGAATCGCATGGCCCTGGTGGCACCAGCGAGGCGGTGGCGCCTCCTCCTCCTCCTCCGCCGCCGCTGCAGCCGCCCCTTCTGGGACGCACCGCGTCGCCGCGACGGCGGTCCCTCTCCTCGCTGCCGTGGACAAAGCTTCCAGCGGCCCGAAGTACGCACGCAACACCTGCCCAGTCTCACCACCTCACCACCTCACCACCTCACCTGTTGCCACACTCCCGCCTCACCGTCCGCCACGCAGTTGCTGGCTCCGTCTGGGAGAGCGTCCTGCTCTCGCCCGTCTCGACAGAGTCGCTGGAGGATAACTTCGGACTCACGCCCACTCGCCGCAAGGGCGCCGCTGCAGCCATCGCCGCCGGGTTGACGGTCCGCTGCACCACCGCCAATGCGGGCTCGCCGCTGTCGCAACCCCCTCCCGCCTCCCAAGGCGACACGTCTCGTGGCGCCGGCAGCGCAGCGGGAGGGCGCGGCGACAGCGGCGGCCCCGACACGCCGCGTAGCAGTGGGAGCCGCACAGTGCTCCTCGAGCCGAAGCGCTCCTCCGCCATCGGCATCGTGCTCCGCTCGTGGCGCGTCTCACTGCCGGCGTTGAGGGACGCCGCCGCGACCCTGGACGCCGCCGTGCTTCCCGCAGACCGCATCGAGGTGCTGCTGGGGACAGCGGGCTCGCCGTGCGCGCTCCCGCGGCCGGGGGAAGTGCGGCTGGTCCGGCAGTGGCTCGAGTCGAGAGGCGTGGCCCTCGACGACACACACGCTGTCGAGGCGTCCCTCGGCGAGGCGGAGGCCTTCTTCGCCATTGTCGGAGGCGTACCACGTCTCGCGCCGCGCCTCCGGCTCTTGCTCGCGGAGCAGTCCTACCTGCCGCGCGCGGCGCAGCTCTCGTCGCAGCTCCGCGTTTGTTCCGAGGCGGCCGCAGAGGTGATGGGCTCGGGCACGCTCCGACGCCTACTGGGTACATTGCTCGGTGTGGGAAATACCCTGAACGCGGCTACGTTCCGCGGAGGCGCGAAGGGGTTCGAGGTTGGTTCGTTGCCCAAATTGCTCGCCGGAGGGAGACCGCAGTCTCGTGGCGGCATCATCGGGTATCTTGCGGCGCACACCCCGTCGCTTCCCGGCGATTTGGAGGAGGAGATGCCGTCGCTGCCGGGCGCGACGCGCCTCTGCCTCGCCGAGCTTGCGCTCGAGCTGCGCGAGCTGCAGGCTTCCATCGACACCGTCGAGGAGGACCTCACGCAGGCGTTGCGAGAGGCGCCACTGCACGACGAGGGTGGCGAGGGTGGCGAGGGCGGCGAGGGCGGCGAGGGCGGCGAGGGCGGCGAGGGCAGCGGTGGTGCTGGAGGCGCTGGAGGCGGCGGTGACGGCGGTTGCGGCGACGACGGCAGTAGCGGCCCAGAGGCCACCGGGGGCGTTGAGGAAGGCACGGGCTCACACGATCACATCTTCGTGGCTCGCGCGCGGGGATTTCTCTCGGCGGCAAGGCCGCGGCGGCGCGCGCTCGAGGCGCAGCTGCCCGAGGCAGAGGCGGGCCTCGATGGCGTATCTCGCTACCTCGCGGCCGAGGCGGAGGGCGAGTGGTGCCTCTCGCAGGTGCACGCTTTCTTGAGTGAGCTCAAGCGGATGTGGCCTAGTCGCTCGCCACGCGCCGCTGCGCCGTCAACGCCGAGGCCCGCTTCGGTGACGCTAGAGGCGCCTTCCGCGCCGGTTCTCCGCGACGGCTCGTCCGACCAAGCGGGGCGAGCGTTGGATGCGGCTCCGGCGGACGGCGGGCCACCGTCGGAATCGGCCGAGCAGGTGGGGCGAGGCTCCACAGACTACGGAGGAGGCGACGAGTATTTCTAGGTCAAGGTGAGGTGTTAGCGCACTCTGACCACTGTTACCAAATCTCAACACTTTGTATAAATTGGAGCACTTGGAGCACTTGGTGTGCAGACTGCAGTCGCGCCACGCGCGCCTCACAGCCTCACACACCTAGTCCTAGAGTATACAACAGCTTATACAAAGAGATATACTGACGTATAAAGTCAGCCCCTTGGAGTGTGAAAGGCTTCGTAGCCCTGAAGATCCGCAGGACTGGAGCGAAAAAAAGCAAGCGAGTGGTATAAAGTGTACGAGTCATTGGACATTGGCCACTGCACACACTTCACGCAAGCGACAAGGGGTGCTTGACTGGGCCGTCGCGTTTTGATCTCTCGGTACTCGGACTCGGTCTGTGGGCGCCCGCCCGCCGCCTCTGAGGGGGTCGGGCCCCCTAGTCTGAAACAAAAACAAGCTCGAAAACAGCCATGAAAATATCAGCCTGCGAGAGAGGCACTGCGCGCCGCTGACCTCGTGTGGGGATGTGAGAGGGAGAGATTGGTGTGCCGACACCATCCAATACTGATCTCTAAAAGTAATGCGGAATCGACCCTATCCAGTGCTCAAGTGCTCAAGCTAAAAAAGTATACTGAAAATTTATCTTACCTTATATTTCCCCGTGTCGGTAAGGTCCAGGGCAAACCTCGTCATCCTACCTTTATTTTCCCGTGTCCGGTTTTCCGTTTCGGGCGACGGCACACTCCACCGAGCTCTCAGGCGGGAATCATGTCGGCGAAGGCGGGCTCTGGCGTCTCGGTGATGCGCTCCGATCTCGACGCGTCGACCTCGACGGAGGTGGACGCACACGAGGCGCAGTGGCGGGCCGGCGTCAACCGCCAAGCACGTCCAGACGCCCCCTCGCAAAGGCGGGCGGCGTCATTGGGTGCTGCAGCCAAGCGGCGGCGGAGAGGAGCGTCTTCTCATATGAAGGGTCTTCATCCCTCCTGCCAGTCTTCACGGATTTTTCTCCGTGAACACTCAGGACGCGACGTACGTCCAAGCACGTTCCGCGTGCCTCGTGGCCGCGCTCTTTGCGTGCTGCTCCTGCAGCTCTCTCGCTGCTCTTCCTGGCCCGGCGCCGTGCCAGCTCTGTGGCCGCGCCAGGCTCTGCGACCGCGCCAGCACTCTGGCTGCGCCGGTTCTTCGCTTTCCCCACCCACCCTCTCCTGGGATAAGGGGGTCGTTCTGAGCACTGAGGGCTCTCCGCATGGTTAGCTCCTCCCTCTCTCTGGTCTGTGGTGCGATCCCTTTCGGCGACGCGGCCAGGCCACGGGACGTTGAGGCTTGCCTCCGTGCCCGTGGTCGTCCAAGCTGATCGAGTCCCAAACCGCCTTTAGTGGCAGGACCCCAGGGGATGTCAGGTACTAGACTCTACCGCGGTGCGCTCCGCGCACATAGGTGCCACGCGCGCTCCGCGCGGTATCTAGCCAGCGCGCTCCGCGCGTGTGTGTCTAGCTAGCGCGCTCCGCGCGTGCGGTGTCCAGCTAGCGCGCTCCGCGCGTGTCCGGGTAGAGCACCGGCGCGCTCCGCGCGCATGAGAATCCAGTGCTTATGCTCATAAGCACTAAAAGCTCGTTTCTGCAGCTTGGCTCCGCGGCGGCATCGCCCCCGTACTTCGCCGTACTTCGAAATGGGGCGTGGTACGTCCTTGGGGCGTGCCAACCGGCGCAAAACACGTGGGTTTGTACTAAAACACCCAACGCGGCCAAAGTAAACCAAGCTTTTTCAGCCCTTGACGTTCGCGCGGATTTCGCGAACTCCGAACTCGAACGAACGCAGCCGGCGGGGCCCAGCCCGAACCTCGTAACTGAACGGACCGCGCCGGCTGTGGAAGGCGCGAACTGCGAAACCGAACGAACGTTCGTGAACTCCGTTCGAACTTAGGAAAAAAGAAAATCATCGCTAGTTCGTTCGTTCGGCTCAGCCGAGCCGCGCTGAACGAACGAACTCGCGCAACTGCGCCACGTGCGCGCGTGCGGACGCGGTCTGACCCTCAATCTCAGGTGCCCATATACACAGGCGGCACTAGCACAGTTCTGACGGTCCGCGACAGTCTGCAATCTAGCGGACTACGGGCGCGACTACCCCGGTGCGCCGCCGCCCGCCGCGGACCATTGAAGGGGGGAGGGGGGGGACCCGCTCAGCCTGACCGCCTCCTCCGGCTTCAAAGAAAAGGCTCGAGTTCACGAACTAGTTCGAGGGTTCGGGCACCCAAGGGCGAACGACCGAACCATGCAGCGAACCAAGGGGATGCCGTCCAGAGCGAACTCCGAAACCGAACGAACCGCGAGTTCACCGAACCAGTTCACGAACCAGTTCGCCAGTTCGCCCGGGAAGTTAAAACGAGCTTTTTTATATCTGGCCTCGCGGACGCGCACAAGCAAGGGCTCGAAGCGCTCGCAGCCAGCCGGGGGCCAGCCAGCCGCTCCTGACTCGCATCCGTCAATGGGCAAGCGCAGCTCAGCGTCGCGCCGCAGGTGTCGCCGCCCGCCCGCGTAGGAGCATGCCGCGTGCACCGCCAAGAGCGCGTGACAACCTTGCAGGCGTGAGGCAGCTGCCGACAGCATGGACACGGACGCGCTCACCACGACGAGCGCGACCGGCTTGCTCAAACCACGAGTTGTCAAGACAAAGATATCCAAGGCGCGCGCGGTCGAAACTTGGCCTGTTCCGATGCCGTCCTAGATGCATGTTCCGGTGTCTTACGCCGCGCCCACGTCGACATCAGGCGGCGCAGAAGCTCACGCGCAAGCAAAAGCTGCGAAAGGCGAAGAAGCAGGAGCGGGGCGCGGCGAATGCTGACCGGAGAGAAATCAAGGCGGAACACGACGCGCACAAAGCGGAGCGCCGGCTGAGGGCGAAGGCCCTTTGGTGAGCGCCTGACCAGGGCGCACTAAATAAATAAAAACGGACACCTCTCTACTGTGAGATGGGTAAAAAGGAACAGGCCCCCGCCCTTGCGATCTTTGTGCAGGGTTCTTTGTGGGTGTGGTCGGCGACTAGCCGGGGTCGTCCTCCCCAGGGCGCACTAACTATAACTAGCAAATAAATAATAAAACGGAGACACCTCTACTAGGAGATGGGTAAAAAGGAACAGGTCCCCGCCCTGCGGTCTTTGTGCAGGGTTCTTTGTGGGTGTGGTCGGCGACTAGCCGGGGTCGTCCTCCCGATGGGGGACTAGCACTAGCCGTCTTCCACATGGTCCCTCGGGTCCCTGCTGCTCCTAATCTCGTCGTACATCCTCCTGCTGATCTCCGCAACATCCTGCTCCCTCCCTCGTCTCGCCCTGCGCGTCTGCTCCGCCTCCCCGTCGTCCGCCCTGCGTCGTCTGGTGACGGGTCCTTCATAGTCGGTTGAGGTCGCCGCCGCCCTCCTCGTGCCTCTTTTCCCAACGTTCCCTCGGCGGCCGATGCCGTCTGCTCCGGCTCCCCAGTCCCCGGGTCTGCCCTGCTCTCGTCTGCGCTAGCTTCTGCTTCGTCATCACTGGGGTCTCTCCTCTTCTTTCTCCCCTTTCTTGTATGCTTTGTACATCGCGTCGATTCCTGTTCGCGTGAGCACCACCCTGAAGCCCGCCCAGCAGCTGAACCGCTCCCTAAGTCGAAGGAGCATCATCAGTCTCACCCACTTCGCTCGCTGCCCACTGTCTCCGCTCCCTCCCGTTTGGGCCGCCGTCGCGGCCCTCGTTCGTCCCACTGGCTGTTGGCCCGTCCCCACGTTACGGTACCTCTGTTATATCCCTCCTCCTCCGCGACTCCCTCAAGGCTGGCCGGGCCTCCTTCCACCCAGCGAAGAGCTTCCTCAGCCACTCAATGTGTTCCTCTCTCTTCATTATGCGCGCGGTAGCCTCATCGTTGAGCTGGATCCACCTCTGCACCGCTCCCGTCGCCGCCTCGGCCACGACTTGCAACATGCAAGTTCCTCGTGTGTGTCGTGACCCCGGCGCCAAGGTCCCTATATAACTAGCAAAGAGACCACGACAGCACCAAAATAACCGTTTAATCGCAAGTGTGAGTAGTGGCGTGGCCAGATCGCAGTATACGAAAGAGTAGTGAGCGCTGCGGAAAGGGGTTAAGACGTTCGCACACCACACTGCTGTACATGAGTATGGGTCAGACGCACACATACAACATACTCATGTACACACACCGCACGCGCGCGCGCGCACGTGAGCCACGCAAGGGCTCGTGATGTCGGGGCATCGGGGCGAAACTCCGCGTCCAGGCGTGTCCGAACGAACGCAACATTAAACACGCCGGAGGCTGCCCATCTCTCGAGCGGGAGCGCCGCCTCGACGCTTGTGCAACGCGAATGCCTCTCCATCGCCGCCGATGCGCACTCTCGACAACGACAAGAGATTCCGACCGAGCATCACTCCGCGTCGCCGCGCAACGCCTCCTGATACCGCGTGACGAAGTCGGAGTGGAGCTGTTCCTTGAGTACTCGGAGGGCCCGGTCGTGGACCGCGCTGGCTTTGGCAAAGGCACCCTGGCGGAGGTGGCACCTGGCGTAGTGCAGCCACAAATCCACCGAATCGTGGCCATGCTCAGACACCTGCATGCATCGGGAGTGGGTGGGTGCGAGACGCAAGAAAAGTGTGTGTGTGTGAGTGAGCGTCTCAGTGGACGAAGCATCTGGAGCGCGAGGACCGCTCGCTCAAACAGAGCGACGAGCTCGGCCGCGACGCAGCGAGCGGAAACGCCGCCCGACTGCCCCGCCCGATCTGCGGAGGCGCCCTGCAAAACCGACTTGCCGTAGAGGGGTCCCTGCATGGGAGCAAAGAGAGGGGAAAAAGCGGATTGAACGGCACTGGTGGTCGACAGCGGCCAGTAGCCTCCAAACTGCTTGGTGCATGTCTGGAGGGGTCTGTTTTGCGTGTGTTAAGGTGTCTCAAAAGCGCCGCACCTCTGCCGTTTCATGGGCCAACAGTGCCTCATGCACCCTGAGCGGCGTGGGCGGGGAGCGGAGTAGGGCCGGCCGCAGCTCGCGTGCACGAGAAAGGTTGAGCCGGCACAACCACTCTGCGAGCAGCACCTACAGGCCGGGACGCGAGGTGTTGAGAGAAGGCAAAAAAGCAGCGGGGCGATAGCAGGGGAGGCAGGATGCCTTGAGCGGCGCGCTCTCTGCGCGCAGCGCAGCCTCCGCACGCCGCCAGACCGCGAGGACCACCTGCGTGCGAGGAGAGACGGATCTGCTTCCATTCCATGTACTCAAACCAAACGAGGAGTGGCGGGAGAAGGGGCCGGAGGGCCGGAGGGCGGGGGGCCTGGGGCTGGCTGGTCGAGTCGGCGGCCGCAATCGCCTGCGGGGAGGAGCCGGGGGGGGGGGGTGGGGTCCCGTAAATGCTGGTGTGTGGCAGCTGGGCGCCAGCACGCTCGGCAGCGCACCGCCTCGATCCACACCCGCCACACGCACAATGCGCCAGGCGTGCCTCGCAACGCGCTCGCAACTTCACGGAAAGGGTCGCGCAAATGTGCCAAATCGGAAAGGGTGGGTCGCTCCCCGCAGCGCGCGAGCAGCAAGCGCAGCCTCATGCACGCGAGGCTTGCGTCCTGCGGGTGGCGGATCGCGCCCGCCTCGCAAGCCGACAGGGCGAGCTGCAGCGCGCCGTCGTGCGCTCCATCGCTCCCTCCGAGCTATACAGGGGCGAGAGGGGAGGGAGCAAGCCGTTCAATCTGTGCGTGCGCGTTGTGTGTGAGCGCGCGTATGTGCGCGGCGCGTGGTGGGGCGGGGCGTTGATGGCTGGAGCGCTGGTGCGAGAGAAGCGAGGGGACGCGCAAGGGGCGGGCCGGGAAACCTGCCGCCACGCCAGAGCCGCATCTGGCTCGGAGGCGTCCGGCAAAAGCCCAGAAATGTCCGCAGCGGAGAGAGCCGCCGTGAAGTGAAGCGCCGCCCACCGCTGGTAGACGGAGGGCGATGCCTCGCCGGCGGCGTGTGCCGCCTTGCACAACTGGAGCCCCTTCTTCCGCATCCGCACAACGGTGGCCGGCGGCAATCCCTCCCTTTGTGTCACCGCCTCGACCCAAGCGACGCACGCGTCGCGGAGGCGTGCCTACAAGTGTTCAGGGCGCTTAGGGGCCCTGGCTCACACATCCACGCCGCCAATAGGCGAGGCGCCGAAGGCGCCGCCGCCAACGACGCGTCGAGAGACTGCAGCGCGGCGCGGAGCGCGGCCGCGTGCGCCGAGCCCCACTCTGGATCCGCGGCGCATCGGTCGAGGGGCAGCGATGCCAATGCCACGGCCACGGCCGCACTGAAGGGACGGGACGGGACTGGTGGGAGGGCGCGAGGGGCTTGTATGTGGAGAAGGGGGCGAGATATTGGAGCACCTCTCGCCGAACGAGTCGCGCAAGCTCGTCTCGATGGCAGCTTGTATCGGCGCGCCCGCCTCCACCTCGCCACACGCACGCAAACAGCCTAGCCGAAGCTCGACATCCTCGGGCATCGCCGCCACCGCGCTCTCATAGACGTAGCGCGCGACGGCGCTCGTCGCCGCCGAACCCCCTCCTAACTCGCCGCCCTCCGCTCCCTCCACGTCCGTCATGGGCGCAAGAGCCAGGCCGGCGGCGCCTCCGTCCTCGTCCTCGTCCTCGTCACCGACTTCCAGTCCGCCGCCGTCCTTGCCGTCATCCTCGCCGCCAGCCTCGCCGCCAGCCTCCTCGCCATCAGCCATGCTCCCCGCCGCGACGTCGTCGCCGTCCGCCGCCCCCGCACCGCCGTCGATGCCGAGCGCGCTCCTCCGGCGCTGCACGCGCTCCGCAAAAATGAGCTCAAACCGAAAGTAGGCCAGCCACAGCTCGCGCGAGCCGCGGTTGGCGCGCAGGGCCCGCTGCAGCAGCCGCCGCGCAGCGCTTGCATTGGAGCGCGCCTGACAGGTGGAAGCAGCAGCTGCAGCATCAGCGGCTGAAGCACGGCGGCATCTAGTTTTGGGGGTCTCACGCGGCCGGCGGGCAGAGGTGGTCCGCCGCCCGAGGGCGACACCGGCGCGCCAGGGAGGGTGCTGATGCCGTGGCAGTGGAGCTGCTGGCGCGTGGCTCGCCCAAGGGTCTGGGTGTCTGTAGCCGTCGAGGCTTCTCGGTTGTTGTCGCGCCTCAAACTCCCACGCGGCTGCGCGTGTCCACAGGGGCACCTGGCAAGGTGAGCGATTGCGTCAGGGGCGCGGCAGAGCGGGAATCGAGGGCGCGTGACGCGCGGTCGGCGGGCGGGGTGGGCTGCGAGGGGAGCGCCGCGAGGGGGCATTACCGAGTGGGGCAGGACAGCAAGCGCGCGACCGTAGATGCGCTCGAGGCGCTTGTCCGCCTTGCGCCGCTCGGCAAAGTCGATCCACTGCATCCAGAGCCGCTCGTCCCCCTTGAAGCGCCGCGCCGCACGGCTGAAAATGAAGTGGATGCGGCGCCGGATCGCAAAGTCGGGCGGGCCCTGCCTGGTCATGCCGAGCCGCCGGCGCCTGCACTTGAGCAGCGCCTCAAAGTTCATCTCGAGCTGCAGGTAGCGCAGAAAGTCGTCGCGCGTCGCGCGGGGCCTATGCGTGGCGCAGCACGTGATGGCGGGGCGCGCTCCCCGGCCACCGCGCAGCAAGGGGCGATCGCCGGTGCACGAGGTACTCAAAGCGCTCGCGGCGCCGCACGAGCGCCTTGACCTCGCTGGCGGAGCACAGGCCGCGGCGCTGCACGTCCTCCAGCTCCGGCACCATCGACTCCATCACCTCGCGCACGCGATCCGCCATGGCTGCAGCGGAGCGTGCGTTGCAGTGCGCCTGCGGCCACGTAGGCCGGTGGGCAGACACAAAAAACGTTGTTTGGGCAGACTATAGTCGAGCGCGTCGGAGAGGTGTTTCGACACCGAGTGTTTGAACGTTTCTTCGCAGAAGAAACGTCAAGAGAAAAAATTCTCTCGCCGGTGTTCACAGAGCTCTGCGCGTTCTGGGCACGGACGTGTGTCGCTCGTGCGTGTCGTCGTCATCTGTCTTGCGTCCACCCATACCGCGTTGGTGTCCAGTCCGAGCCTGAGGGCCCAACTTCAGAATCGTGCTTTGAGTTGGGTTGTTTCGTGTTGGGTTGGGTTGGTGAGAGAGAATTCTTGATACGAAACCACGACGACACACACCAGTCGACTCGCATCGGTTGCCTCCATGAACGGCGGAGCTATTCTCGCGTCCACACCACACCTGGCTCCAACGTGGACACGCCCATAGCTGGGGACACTACTAGGTCACGCATGGCATCAGAAGTTTTATCTCTGGGCCTTTTCTCTCTCTCTCTCTCTCTCTCTCTCTCTCGTTGGGTTGGTTGGGTTGGGTTGCCTTGCTTGGCCCGGGTTGGGTTGTTCCGCGTGAGGTTGGGTCGTCGGCGCGAATGGTGAGGTCTCGACCGCCGCCGCTCACGCCAGCGGACGGCCACCATCGGTGTTTTTGGCTTCGCCACCGTCCAAGGCGTGCGCCATGCGCTCGCCGGCATCGAGCGAGCAACGTGATCGACCGAGCGGCTTGCTGTGTGGACGCCTTCTTCTGGCTCTCGTCGAGAGCGTTTTGCGTCCCGGCGGGTGGGAGAATATGTGTCGTCTGATGTGTCACTGTGTGCGTCACATCGGTCTTGATAACAAGCACGGTCGATCCGTCGAAGCGATACACTCGTTCCTATCACGCTGGAAGGCTGGCACGGAGCTCTGCGCCGGCACACAGAAGAGCCGTGCGGCAAGAAGAGCTCGATGGGGAGCGAGAACCGTCAGATTTTCAGGTGTAACCTGAAGTCCGTCGCGATGCACTCAATCCCTCCCGAGCGAAAGCCTGTGGCTCTCTCGAACTCGTCGATATATTGCGGATAAACTGCTCTTCCCGCATAGCTTGCAGAGTCAGAGGCGCAGAAAGGCTGCGAGTGCTCGACGAGTCTTGCGAGCTGCGCGGTCAAACCTGGGGGGAACTGACCGCATCAAGGCGGACTTCCGAAACCTGGGTGAGCACCACCACGGCGGCCATCTGCAGCACCTGCGCAGCTCAACCCGAGTACCCGACCTTCCCTGCTGCAACAACCACCCGTACGAACGCAATGGCCGCCGCCGCCGATTCTGTATAGAATTGCAAGGCGCACACGCTGGTGCAGGCGGGGAGTCGTCGATCCGACTCGTTCCGATGTGACGTCGCCGTGAAGGATTGCAAACAGTATGCCCAAGATTTGCCCTCCCGCGCGATCTTCTCGCGTCGGCAAGCGCGCCGGCCAGGATGGGCGAGCCGGCCCCGCCACGCTGGACGGGCCAGCGGCTGGCACGCGCCGGCCACTCCGGCGGCGCGGCGGCCTCATCGCGCTCGTCGTCTGCGAGGCCACCGCTCGGCGTCGCCGCGTCCGACGGCGATGGCGCTTGGCTGTGAGGTGGCCGGTGCCGCATTCGTCGCTGTGCTTCTTTAGCAGGCGGTGGACTGTCGGCTGCGAGGACGGTCGCATTTGCGCGAGGCGAGGCGAGCATTGCTGCGCGTTGCATGCGCCATGACTCGCGCCAGCGCGTGCGGGAGCTCCTGGCTGAGCGTTGAGTCCAGGTGAGTTGCGCTGGCAGGCCACTATCGCTACGCCGAGCCGAGCTGACGCGCCGAGGCGCCGGCCAGTCGCAGCCGTGAGGCATGCCACAGCAGCAGAGGCACCTGCCCACCCATTGGGCGGGCAGACAGAAGGCCAGGGCAGCACTGGCAAGTGCAACGCGCCTCATGTCGGAGAGCGACCGTGCCTCGTTCGCCGCTTATGATGTAGAGTGTTGTAGAGATTTCACGTTGTAGAGCGCCTCTACATCGCTCTACAGGCGACTCACATCGTCACGCGCCGGATGTAGAGCTCTACAGCTCTACAGCGCTCTCCAGCGCTCTACATCTCTACAGCTCTACAGCGCTCTACACTCTAGATCCTCTACACCCTCCCTCAGCCCTCACTGCTGCTGGGGGGGGGGGGGGGGGGTCGGCCATGGGCTTAGAGGTGTGCAGGGGGGGTACCGAGCAGTGTGCGGCCGCTCCAGTATTGGTGTCGGCACACATCCCCGCACGGAGGTCAGCGAGTGATCTGTAAAAGTTTGGCCAAAAGGCCCCACATGGCTGCCCCTTGGGCTGAAAGGGAAAACGGTCGTGGGCTGAAAAGAAAAACAAGAAACCCGGGCGCAACACTGGGCACACGGGACTGGTACGAATCGGCGAGGGACTGCGAAGGGAGATAGAAAGCTGATTGATAGATAGAAAGAGGCAGACGACCAAGGGTTCAAACAAACTTCGCTCTCACCTGGCAACCCTGTCTGCACGTCTTGCGCGCGCGTGAACAGGGCTCCAGGCCCCAAATGACGTGTGAGTGTTAGAGTTGTTTGGTATTGCTATAAATCTCCCCCCCCCCCCCCCCAAGGGTTAGGGCGGGCGACGGCTAGCACCACACTCCTCTCCTTAAATTCCCTGTGTGGTGGCGGCGTGCCGTCCTCCCATCCATATCCCTCCCTTGGGTTGGCACCACCACCCACCACCACCACCACCATCATCCATCCCTCCCTTGGCGCTTGGGTTGCGTTTCTCTCTTTCTTTCTTTCTGGTGCTTACTGGCCCAGGTAGGTAGGTAGAAAGGTGAAGAACAGCCAGGCTCGGACTGGACACCAACGCGGTATGGGTGGACGCTAGACAGATGATGACGACACGCTGGTCAACACAGACACAAACAGCAAAAGAAAGAGGTTCTCAGCAAGTGCCGTAGCGAGCTGCCGCAGCAGTATGGGCAAAGCGGGTAAGGCCAAGGCGTCCACTTCCCAGCCGCAGGAGGCGAGGAAGCCCGCGGAGGACGACGACGACGCCATTCTGAGCGCGGCGATCGCCGAGAACCGCGTCTTCAAGGAGAAGGTGGCCAGCGAGGCTGCCGCCTCTGCCGCCGCCGCGTCCGCGATCACCGCGGCGCTGGACAAGCTTCCGGTCTTCGCCATCGCCGACGCGGGCAGGCCGCTGCAGTACACGGTGGGGAGGCGGAAGCTAGCGGTCTTCTACGCCGACGTGGCAGCCGCCAAGGCGCAGCAAAAGGCGACCGAGCGCCAGGTTCCCGGGTGCGACCTCATCGCCGTCGGCCTCGGCGGCGCCTACCGGCTCTCGTACGACGGCAAGGCCGCGATCGTGCCAGGCGTGGCCGAGTTGAGAGCGGCCGGCGCGCCCGAGGGCGCGCAACCAATGGGGCAGGACCTGCCGCTCTTTGCGTGCACCAAGCTGGGGCGGTACGTCGACGGAGGGTTGGTGATGCCGCTCTTCATGAGCCATGCGGACTGCGCGGCGGCGGTGGAGGCGGCGGCGAACGCGGACGCGCCGGAGAGCGATGGGCCCGCGCAGATCAGCGCCCTCTCTCTGCAGAGCGTCGTGGATCAGCTCGGCGACCCGTCCTCTCCCGCGTTTTCCTTTGTCGCGCCATCCAGCTCGGTGGAGCACAACGAGCGCTACGTAGGCAAGGGCGTGTACATGAGACGGGTCGAGCCGGAGCCGGAGCCGGAGGACGTGCCCCCGCCGCTGGCGGCAGAGTGAGTGTGTTGGTGTATCTGATATAGTTAGAGGCTGCGCAGCCGCAGGCCGTCCCGTTTGCTGTTTGCATAAAAAACGCCTGTTGCCCGCTGCGCGCGCGCGCCGGGGCTCTGTCTCAAAACTCACGTGCCGCAATATGTGTCACACACGGCGGCTTCTGCCACCTCTCGATTGGTTCCACTTTCTACGCACACACCTACCGGGGAAGGGGCGCTTGGGAGCGGGAGCGGGGGCGGGGGCGGGGGTGGGGGCAGGGGCGCGCAGCGCGCGGCGCGCGGCACGCGCAACAGAGGTAGGGGTGGAAGACGGCGAGGAGGGGGCGGCGGCGGCGGCGGCGGCGGCAGCGCGCGCGCGGCGCGCGCGACGGAGGGGCGGAGCAGCGACCGCTGGCGCGGTCGCTGCTCCGTCTGTGACAGACGCGCGCTCTGCCGCTGCAGAGCGCGCGCGTCAGGCACAAAGGAGGGCAAGCGTGGCGGCGCGGGACGCGCGGCGGCGGCGGCGAGCAGCTGAGCGCTCCGTGAGCGGTGAGGCGGCCGGGCGAGGGCGCGGCGGGTGACGGGTCAAGGGAGCAGCCCACACCCGGCGTCGCTCTTTGAGCGACGCCTGTGGTACGCCTGCGCAGGGGCCGCAGGGCGGTCAGTTGTGGGGCGAGGCGGTGCCGGCCGCGGGCCGGGTGCAAGGCGCCGGCCTCGGCGCCGCCTCGGCGCGCCGCACGGGCGCGGCGAGCCTCTGAGCGGGAGCCGAAGGTTTGGTGTGGTAGGTGGGAGGTGGAGGTAGGTGGGGTGATCTGACTTTGCCGCAGAGGCCGTCCCTAGCTGTGAACAGCAAAACGGGACAGTATATGGCCTTTGTCGCGTTGCTACCCGCCTTCGTGCCCGCCTTCGATCCCGCCTTCGTGCCCGCCTTCGTGCCACACGCCGCTCCCTTCGCCGGACTTTTGCCTGCGTCCGCGCGTGCGTCCGCCGTCGTGGCCAAGGCCGCCAAGCGCAAGGCCGCCGCCGGGAAGCGCAAGCCCGCCAAGCCCGCCGCGTTTGACCTCAAAAAGGCCATGCTGGTCGCGATGCGAGCTCACCAGGATCTGTGGCGGCTCGACCCGCAGAGGTCCCTCCGTACCTCAGCCCCAACCGCGCGTGTCTCTCTCCTCAGGGAGTGCCTCCACCGCCCCCGCAGGGAGTGCAGCCGCGATGTGTACGTGCGGGCAGACGGCGGCTCGCGCTTCTTCTTTGCGGGCAAGGCGGTGGGCGCCGCCGGGCGGTGCGACGCGGCGTCGGCCGTGCTCTTGCAGAAGCGCGCTATCTTGGAGCACGCGCGGCTCCTCCATCCGGAGCTGGAGCAGATGCACCGGTTGAGCAGGCCGCTCCAGCTCTGGGCCGCGCCGGCCGACTCGGAGGTCTCCGTGGCGCGCAAGGTGCAGGCGCTAGAGTCGCTGGAGGGGGCAAGGCTTTCGCGTGCGATGCGAGAGGACGCAGACGCAGGCGCAACGCTCGCCGGCTTTGACCCCGACCAGCCCGAGAGCGACGGCCGCGCCGGCTTCTCGGCGCCGCCCCGGCCCGGCGGGGTGAGGCAAGCTGGCCCTTGCCTCTAAGCTACGCGTCGCCTTGAATAGGTGCGGCTGCCGGAGGACGGCGTCCCGGTCGCGCCGCTCGAGGTGAGGTTCGCGTCCAGCGTGGCCGAGGCGGAGGCGATGGCGGCGCAGGAGCAGGAGGCGATGGCGGCGCAGCAGCAGGAGGCGATGGCGGCGCAGCAGCAGGAGGCGATGGCGGCGCAGCAGCAGGAGGCGATGAGAAAAGAGGAGGCGGCGGCACGCCCCGGAGCAGGTGGAGGCATGCCAAAGCCGGTCGCGCCGAAGGTGACGGGCGCGGCGTCAGCGGCGGCGGAGTCGGCGACCGACTCTCGGGAAGACTCCGGCGGCGGCGTCGTGGGTCCAGCGTCTGCGTGGTGGGCCCGGTGAGAGGGAAGCACTGTAGTCGGCCGCCGACCAAACAACTCACAAACCAGCCCATGCGTGGCACCATGCCCCCAAAACGACCCCATCGGTGTCGCGCCGGCCCTGTGGCTGTGGCTGGCGGCTCGGCTCGTGCATTCCCTGCATGCAACAATAAAAAAAAATCTTGGAGGTCCACCTTCAGGCCCTGATACAACAAAAAAACCCATGCCGTGCCCATGCCCATGCCTATACCGGAAACTCGAGCGAGCCCAAGCAGCGCCGGGACGCTCCTCTCCACCGTGATGCTCCTCGCCATCGTCGTCACCACGACGTGGCTGCGGACGGGCGTCGCCCACGACATCGTGCGCCCGCTCTCCAACGTCGCCGAGATCCCTGCCTCGCCTGCCAGGAGCGGCGTCGACCTCATCGCTGGGCAGGTGCGCGGGTAGAGCTCTCCACCATACTCTGCCGCGATCCCGGCTGCTGCGACCTGCGAGCACGGCGCCGCCCGGTGCGCGCGAAATGACCCCTGCCGTTCCCGCGCGCACGCAGAGGACGTCGGGTGCCAATGCGCAAGCACGACAAATGTGCGCGCGTCCGCCGCCGCCATGCAGCCCCGCCCCTCCCCGCCGTCGATTTCGTCGCCGTCCGTGCGCGCGCCGCCATTCACTCCGCCGCCGCCGTCGCCCCCACTTCCGCCGCCCCCGTTTTGCGCCTCGCCGCCGCCGCCGTTCTCCTTTTTCCCGCCGCCCGCGCTTCCCTCAGTCGCGCGCGCGCGCGGCTCGCCTGCGTCGCCGTCGCCCCCCCTCTCGCCGCCGCTCCCCTCACAGCCTCGTACAAGGGTGCCGCCGTCGGCGCCACAGCCTTCGCTCGCCCAAACGGTGACCCTCCCCCATCCCCCTCGGTACTGCCCCACCTTCTTCAGAACCAAATCCTCACCCCCCCCCCCCACACTGCGCCCCGAATCAGGTGCCATCGCCACGTTTCCGTCGGATGAATTATGTGGAATCGTACCCCTCGGTGGTTTCCAAACCTATTCAAAAATGGACGCTTACAGAAATCGGCAAAAATTCAAAAGAAGGCGGAGGAGCAGGAGGCGGCGAAGGAGGAGGAGGAAGAGGAGGAGCATAGAGGAGGAGGAGGAGGAATAGGAGGGAGAGCCGTGAGCTGCGCAGTGAGAAGGTGAGAAGAGCGGCGGCGTAGTAGCGGTCGAGAGAGGAGTTGTGTTGTCTTCACACCGTGTCGGGAGGTGTCCGGCGACGAGGCTCGAGGGGTCGCGACACACATCTCGCACGCGAGGTCGAACCATGTCCTCTTCTTCTTATTTCTTCACTTTCCTGAACGCCTTGCCTATCATCATATGGTTGCAACTAAAAAAGACCTCCAAGGCGCCCTTGGCGTCGCTCTGCCCCAGGGTGTAGTTGGTCACTGCTCCTGCATTGTCGTACACCGTGGTCCAATTCAGACAAGGCGTGTGGTCCTTTACGTGCTGAGCCCCTGGAACGAGAACGAGCGCTGCATCGCTGGTGATCTGAACTTCGTCAACGACGACGACGATGGGCGCCTGCGCAGCTGGCGGGGCCTGCTGCTGCGCCATCTTCACTGCGTCTTCTCCTCTCCTCCCACTTCACAGAAAACTGCGGCCGCCAGCGACAGAGCGTCTCGCTGGCGGACGGCGAGAGGAACACAAAGGGACGTCCGGACGTCCATCCACTGGGATGAGATAACTGGAGATCTAAGGTCGAATCTCCCGATTCCACAGCCGCCCACAGGAGCGCCGCCTCAACGCGGGGTCTCGGCTCTATCGAGCCATGCTAGCTCCAGCCGCAGCCCCACCCGGCCGCCCGAGGGTGTTCCCGCATGCAGAGAAGACCAATCCTGGGGGAAGTAACCACACTTCGCGTGCAGATCCTGCGTCTCTCACTGCCCGGAACAGAGGCGGGTACCGCCGCAGGTCCCACACTTGTAGATGACGGACGCTTGCGTCCTAGCCTCCAACAACGCCTCCCCGGCGCAAATGATACGATTTTTTCTTTAACAGCAGCCAGTCCCCGGTATGTGTGTGTGTGTGTATGTCTCTCTGTATGTATATATGAAGCGCAGCGCCACCGCGTCCGCCATCTCCGGCACAAAGCGGCCGAAGGCAGCCGCCGACCCGCCGAGCGAGAGGGCGCCCGTCGCGCGTGACGCCGGCATCCTGAGCGCTGCTGCCGTGCGCGCCCTGGCCTCGGATCTCGATGCGCTGCCTACCCATGTCGAAGGCTGCGTCCGCCTGCTGGCCGAGGGACACACTGTGCCGTTCATCGCTCGGTACCGGCAGCCCGAGACCGGTGGCATGGCCCCGCCGCTTCTGCGGCGAATCGATGCGGCGTCAAGGGATGCGGCGAGCCTCGCAGCACGGTGCGACGCGGTCGTTGCGGCGCTGCGCAAGACGGATCGCTTGACAGCCCAGCTCGAGGCCGCGCTGCGCGCGGCTCCCACTCTGGCAGCGCTCGAAGACGTCTATGCGCCTCACAAGTCGAAGCCGTGCTCACTTGCAGAACGGGCGCGCGCCCTTGGATGCGAGCCGGCGGCGCAGGCCCGCCAGGCTTTGTGATCTCGTAAGCCCAGCAGTGCCCGCCTTCACTCCCTCCGCCACGTCAGGCGATGTGGTGCGCGACGATCGACGATAGCGGGCTTTCCCAGGCCTTGCGCGCGGCGGCGGCGGGTTCGGGTGCTCGATCCAGCGAGGGCGGCACCGAGGCGGCGCTGCGTGAGGGCACTCAAAAGGTGCTGGCCGAGATGACCGCTCGTTCGCCCGCGGTGCGCGAGGCTGCGCGCGGCGCGCTGCGCAGATGCGCGCTGGTGAAATGCACAGCGGTCGCAGGCAAGCGATCGATCAGCGGGAGCGGCGGCGCCGGCGCCGCGAGCTCCAAGAAGGCGAGCACGGCAACCGCAGCGGCGGCGGCCAGCGGCGGCGAGAATTTTCGCGACTACGCGGACTTTGAGCGGCCCCTCAGCGCGGTCTCGTCGCACGCGTGGCTGGCGATGCACCGCGGCGTCGAGCTCAAGCTGCTCCGGCTCTCCGTCGCGCCCCGCGACGAGGCTTCCGTCGCCGCCGCTGTCGCACGCGCATGCCCGCCCCTCCGCTCCTACAGCGCAAGGCCAGGCGGCGGACACCGCCTTTGCCTTGCCCTGGCAGAGGGCGCGAGGGCCTCGCTCCCCACGACCCACTCGCAGGTCCGAACACACCGCCTCCTCGTTCCATGCACAGGCGCGGCCGCGGAGGCGTGGAGCCGGCTGCTCAAGCCATCTCTTGCGCGCGAGGTCCAGCGGCGCGCGCTCGAGGCGGCGCGGTGCGAGGCGATCGAGTGCTTCGCCGCCAACCTTTCGCCGCTGCTGCTCGCGCCCCCGCTGCGCGGCACGGCCGTGCTTGGCGTCGACCCAGGCTTCGCACACGGCCACAAGCTCGCGGTGGTCTCCGCGGGCACCGCCTCCGTTACCGCCCACGCCACCGTCAAGCCGCCGCTGCCGCCCCGTGGCAGTGGCAGCAGCGGCGGTGGGGCTGGCGGCTCCCGCGGCTCTGGCGTACACGACGGAGCGGCGTGGGACGAGGCGGTCCGCGTGATTGCCGAGCTGTGCGACAGCCATGGTGTGGGAGCCGTCGCGGTGGGCGACGGCCAGAACAGCCGTGAGGCGCAGAGGCTGGTCGCCGCCGCAATCGCAGCGACACGTCGTGGCGGCGGACGGTTGCGATACGCTGTGGTGCGCGAGAATGGCGCCTCAATCTACTCAGCGTCCGATCTAGCGGCGGCGGAGCTGGGCGATGTGCCGCTGCAGCACCGCGCCGCCGTCTCGATTGCGCGCCGTTTGGCCGACCCGCTGTCCGAGTTTGTCAAGATTGAGCCGGCCGCGCTGGGCGTCGGAATGTACCAGCGCGATTTGCCCGCCAAGGAGCTCGGCGCGCGGCTGGATGCGGCCGTCGAGGACGCCGTCGCAGCGGTGGGAGTCGAGGTGAATGGCGCGTCGCCTTCATTGCTGCAGCGCGTCGCCGGCCTCAACAGGAAGACTGCATCCGCGCTGCGCGCCCACATCGACACCGCGGGCGAGCTTTCGAGCCGTGAGTCGCTGAGGCAGGTGCCCGGCATCGGTCCCAAGACGTACGTCAACATTGCCGGCTTCCTGCGCATCACGGCTTCCGACGGTGCGCCGCTCGCGGAGCCGCTGGACGCGAGCCGCGTCCACCCGGAAGCATACGCCGAGGCGCGACGACGCCCCGATTAAAGTCACGCCTAAAAGCGCACGGGAGACGATTGACACGAGAGTTGAACCCGTAGGCCCGAGCCCTGCTCGCGGCAGCTGGCATCGGCTCGGGCGCTCTTGGCCAGCTCGCGCGCCGCGGCGGGGGATTTGCCGAGGGTGACTGCGCGCGCCTCCGTGCGCTCGCTGCTGCTCCTGCCCCCGGCGGTGGCGCCGCCTCTCCTGGCGGCGGGCGGGCGGCGCTGGTCGAGCTTCTTTGCGACCCGCTCTTGTGCGGCGACCCGCGCGAACAGCTCGCGCCGCCGCCGCAACTCGTGGCGAGCGCACCGCGTTCCCTCGCCGACGTGCGCGCGGGCGACGTGTTCGAGCACGCCGTCGTCAAGAACGCCGCCCCGTTTGGCCTTTTCGTCGACGTGGGTGTCGGTTCGGACGGGCTCCTCCACGCTTCCGAGCTCAAGAAGCGCGGCAGCGGCCGCCACGTCCCAACAGTTGGCGCGAGCATCTGTGTGACCGCAAAGGCGGTGGACATCAACCGCGGGAGACTATCCCTCGCGCTTCACCCTGTCTGGTGTCTCTAGTCCACACACAGAGACTTTCGCTAGCCGGAGCAGCCCGCGACGAGGCTTGCGTCGCCGCCGCTGTCCACATTTCTGAAACACATTTCTTTACGAGTCTCGGGGACTAAGATTTCTCCTGTCCATCGATTGAGAACGCACTCCCTGCCACCGCCCCGCCGCCCTCGCAAGCTCACAGGTTGAGTTGAGAGGAGAAGCAGCTGAGGGAGATCAAAGCGGGAGCAGCGGGAGAAGGCGGCACGGCGGCGGCGGCGCGGCGCCCCCCCCATCCCCAATCCGCCTCCGGGCGAGAGTTTCCCCCCAGCGTCTGTGCTCGTCCAGCAGACGCTCCGGTAATCAGGCCGTTATCCATCGCGTCCGAGTCCCCGTCGTTCATGTTGATATAGATTGTCATTGAGATTGGTCCTAAAATCGACTCCTGGGTTGGCTGGCCCCGAGAGCTGCGTCTCGAGCTCCCGGTGCCGTTGCCAGACGACCCCGAGCGTCGGCGCCCAAATAAGGCCCCGACGCTCGAACACACACATGGACACTACAAAACGTCTGCCAGGGAGGGAGGGTGGGGCAGACGAGAACGGGACTCGGGCGCCTGGGGGCGCGAGGGTCCGACACACGAGTTCCGCGCACGGACGGACGTAGCGATCCGGCCATCGCGTCACGTTCCACACCTTACGGTGGGGGTTATTGTGTCGGTTCCTCTCCTCGCGTTGTTGGATAACCTACATAGCCGCTGCGCGGCTATCTCCGATTATCCATCGCGTCCGAGTCCCCGTCGTTCATGTTGATATAGATTGTCATTGAGATTGGTCCTAAAATCGACTCCTGGGTTGGCTGGCCCCGAGAGCTGCGTCTCGAGCTCCCGGTGCCGTTGCCAGACGACCCCGAGCGTCGGCGCCCAAATAAGGCCCATCGCGCCGATTGCCGGGGAAGTCGATTCCAGTGAGTCTCAAAAGGCCCATCGACGAAGTTGGGGTCGTTGCCCGGTAGGAGGGTGGCGGCCGTAGCAGCCCCGGGCTTGGTGGGGTTCGGTCCCCCCTTTGCTGGAATGCAAGGCCAGCTGCTCTGCAGTATGTCACGGCTCGTGCCGTATGTCACGGGCTCATGTGGTTGTCGCGTGGCGATTAGGTCCGCTCACGCTCCGTCCGGTTGTCGCGTGGCGATTAGGTCCGCTCCGGCGTGTCTCGTCGCGTGGCGATTAGGTCCGCTCACGTCGTCTCGTCGCGTGGCGAAACCGATTCGGTCCGCTCCGGCGTGTCTCGTCGCGTGGCGATTAGGTCCGCTCACGTCGTGTCCTCGTCGCGTGGCGATTAGGTCCGCTCACGTCGTGTCCCGTCGCGTGGCGAAACCGATTCGGTCCGCTCCGGCGCTCACGTCGAGTCTCGTCGCGTGGCGATTAGGTCCGCTCACGTCGTGTCTCGTCGCGTGGCGATTAGGTCCGCTCACGTCGTGTCTCGTGTCTCGTCGCGTGGCGAAACCGATTCGGTCCGCTCCGGCGTTTCTCGTCGCGTGGCGATTAGGTCCGCTCACGTCGTGTCTCGTCGCGTGGCGATTAGGTCCGCTCACGTCGTGTCTCGTCGCGTGGCGATTAGGTCCGCTCACGTCGTGTCTCGTCGCGTGGCGATTAGGTCCGCTCACGTCGTGTCTCGTCACCGTCCAATCGTTCCGATGTCCGAAACCGGGGTGGGGCTAAATAACTTTTCCGAGAGAAGGTAAAGGCATCACACTACAAGGAACGCGGCTGAGCTGACCTCCCTATACCCTATAGCCTAATAGGGAGCGCCTTGGTGAACCAGGGACTAGATCTCGCGCAGAAGAACACAGGGCGTGCTGCGTGCGCCCCGCGCGATCCCTGGCACAGAGGGGGCTGAGCTGCCGAACTTAGGATGCCTGCAGAAGGCTGGCGAGAGCCGGCGACCCACACTACTTTACCCCTCACCCGCACGGACCTCATCTCGATCTCCCAGACTCCACCACAAATGGCAAAAAGCCACCACATGCCCCGACAGAGCCGCCTAGGACAGAGCCTCAGCCCTCACCACCCCAACCCCAGGCAATGTTGTAGCGCACATGTCTAGACTCTATAGTCCGGAGAGGTTCAGAGAGGTCCAGTGGACAGAGCACAGAGAGGGCCGGGGGGCGCGGGGGGGCGGGGGGGGGACCAAGCTGCAGAAACAAGCTTTCAGTGCCTACAAGTGTAGGCACTGCATTATCGTGCGCGCGGAGCGCGCTGGTGCCGGACACACGCGCGGAGCGCGCTAGCCGGACACACGCGCGGAGCGCGCTAGCTAGACACACGCGCGGAGCGCGCTGGCTAGATACCGCGCGGAGCGCACCGCGGTACCGGTAGAGTCTAGACACATGAAGACAGTCTGTGGCAGTCAGTTGTGGCCACGCTGCTTCGAAGCTGGCCTGACGTCGTAGCACGCGTCTGGCAGACGCTGTGTCTCTGCCTTCTTCCGCGTCATGACCACACCCCGCTGCAGCGAAGCTCCAATGCCGCCCCTCTGTACATGTGACCTGTCGTTGTGGTGAAAGCGGTCTTCCCAGTTGAGCCCGCCCCAGTTCTCGAGCGCACGGTTGATGAAGGGCACGGCGACGGCCGCATGTGGCGCCCAGAGACACGCGCGGAGCGCGCCGCTGCAGAACACGCGCGGAGCGCGCCGCTGCACAGGCGCGGAGCGCCGCCACTTGAGATTGGGCCTGTGGGTGGGCCGAGTGGTTCCTAGCGTGTGAGTCAACTCTTAATAGAAATCGCACCTAGCCCTCCTCAACCCTCCGAGTGGTGTGTCGCTCCGCGCCACCGCCTGACCGCCTTGCGGCAGCTGGGCCCTGGGCAGAGGGGATGGCACCGTGCCGAGGACTTTGGTTTAAAGCATTTTCCCCAATTTCATTGCATTAACCATTATGGTTTATGAGCTGCGCGTGTGGGTTGTGGGGGGCGCAACGACGACCGCGCTCCCCGCAGCTAGCAGCGCAACGCTCGACAAACACAAACCCCTGACAGTGCCGCCCCGCGGCAGCCCAGAGCCGTCGCAGACGAGGGCGGAGGGCGCACGCCAGTGCCAATGCGAGGGCCGCCGGAATCTGGGTACGAGTTGTACGGGAGCTTTCGAGAGACGGGGGCGAGAGACGGGGCGGATAGCGCGGGTCTAGGCGAGCCCGCCGCCAGGTGGCGGGGTGTAGCGTCGCGGGCATGCCTGCCGCCGCCGCCGCCGCCGCCGCCACTCTACTCGACCTTGAAGCTGGCTGTGGTGGACATGATGATTGCCACGATGATGGCGAAGATGCCCAGCGCCGAGGCGAAGATCTCGATGACGAGGATCTTGACGAACAGCGCGCCGTTTTGGGCATCGGCGAGCGCGCATCCGCTGCCGCAGATTCCAACGCACACGCCGCAAGCGAGGTTGCCGATCCCGCAGCAAACCCCCGCCTACGCAGGCACGTATCGGCGCTGTGCATGGCGGTCGGACGGGGGCGAGTTTGCGGTGCGTGAGTGTGTGTGTGTGTGTGTGTGTGTGTGTGTGTGTGTGTGTGTGTGTGTGTGTGTGTGTGTGTGTGTGTGTGTGGAGTGCCCAGAACATCGAGTAGCCCGCATTCATGGCGATGGTGTTCACGACGTCCGGCTTCGCACGAATGACTGCGCGGGAGTCGGCGGGGGGGGGGGGGGGGGATGAGGAGGCGGTTGGGGCGCCCAAATGCCCGCCTTGCTCGTCACCCCCCCCCCCTTCTGCGACGGTGCCTGCGGGCTCGTTGTGCTCGATCTTTGACTGCAAGATGATGGAGACGATGACGCCATAGATGGCCACCGCCTCGCAGAAGATGACGCTGCGCACGGGCCAGATGGAGGAGCGTGAGCGGGCCCGGCGTGAGGTGCGCGAGCAGACTACGCGCGTGCGATGCGCTGCGCCTGATCAGGTTCTTTGAGGTGATGCGCGGAGCGCGTACGGCGGCGCCGAGCAGCGACGAGCCCGTGATGAAGATTCCCCACGCGGCGCCGAGAACGGACAGGCCAATGGCGAGGCCGGTGCCGACAAAGGCAAACGCGTACGGGTTGATGTCGGAGAGAACCTCGCTCCAGTTTTCGTAAACGTCGCCGTAGCAGGTGCCTCCGCCGGCGCACGCCATCTGACGCGAGTTGCAAAGGCGGCGCTCACTGGCCGCCGCCGAGAGCAAGACGCGGCGGCGGGGCGCGGCCCAGGCGTGCGGCGAATGGCGGCTCCGAGTCCCTCCGGGAGTGAGTGAGCGGGCGGGCCGCGGCCGAGGGGCGAGGGGAGGCGAGGGGAGTGTGCAGGGGAGGGGGAAGGGGTGGGACTCGGGCCAGAGAGCGGTGCGACGCCTGCTTGCTGAGCTGTGTACTGCGGAGAGAGCAATGTGCGGCGAGAAATGTGTGAGCCGCGGTACGCGGCGCTAACCTGCGTAGGACCGTGTTTACTTTACGGCCCTTTCCCTGCGAACGCGCACCCCCCCAGGGCTAGGGCTCTCTAGCCCGTAGCCCGATACCGATCATCCGGCCCGCTGGGTGCGCTTCTTAGCTCCCCGGCCCTGGATGTGAGGTTGAGCTTTTGAGGACTGCACTCCAAGTGCTCCAAGAGATACTAAGACGAACAGAAGAAAAAAACCACCCTCACACACTCCATAACCACCACGGACACGCGCGCACTCTACAACGAACCCGGGGCGCGGGGCGCGCCCCGACGACCCCCCGTGCGAGTCCCGGAGCCTGCGCAGGCGCAACGCGGCAGACTGCGCTGAGCTGCCGGTGCCCGCGGAGTCAGGGCGCCAGGCCTCTGCCGCACGGGGGACACACACCGCGCGCCCGCGGATGACATTGAGAGGCACCGGCCGGCAGCGCGCGCGCCAGAGCCAGGACCGGCCGCTGCTCTGCCTGCGTGGGCGCGGCACAGGCCGCCGCCCCCGCCGCCGAGGCCGCACGGGCAGGGTGCGCGGGCCCGCGTCCTACTTGGCGGTCGGGTGCGTCATAATGTACTTGATCGCGTCCTCGCACGTCAGGATCTTTTCAGCGTCGGCGTCTTGAATCTCAATGACAAACTCGTCCTCGAACGCCATCACCACCTCGACCGTGTCCAGGCTGTCAAGCCCCAAGTCGTTGAGGAAGTGCGCCTTGACAGTGACCTGCTCGGGGTGCACCTTATCAAACGTCTTTACGCAGCCCAGGACCCTGTCGGTCACCTCTTCCTCGCTCAGGAAGGTGGTGGAGGCGAAGCTGCGCAGCGCTGGCGCCGCGGTGCGCGCCAGCGCCGCTCGCGGCTGCAGCGCGGGCGCCGCGGTGCGCGCCAGCGCGCGAGAGAGCGCGGGCGCGCGCGACGCGGCGGCGACGGATCGCGAAAGCATCGCGCAGCAGGTGTCGCAGGCTCTGGCGCGCTGCTGCCAGAAAAGAAGAATTTTCTCGCCCCGGATACACGGATCCCTTGGCTGGAGAGGGGACGTCAACATCCTGCATCGGGAAGGGGAGGAGGACCTGGAGGTGGGAGTCGTCAACCCTACCGGCCGGATGATGCCGTACGAGACGTCAGGGAAAGAGAGGTCCCAGTGCCGTCTGCCCGCGTCCCAGTGCGGTCGCCCTGGTGGACGGACCTGCGGCTACGAAGGTGGCTGAGGAGGTGGTTAGCGCCATCCTGGAATGGATTTCTGAACGGGTGGAAGGGGAAGCGGAGGAGGGGATGAGGACGCGCCTGTGCCACGCCATGCAGGGGCAAGGGGTGTTTGTGTGCTTTTGTTGTGCAGCCCCTGTGGTCCGTGAGAAGAGGAGACAAGGATACGGGGTGGCGGCGAGGGGGGAGCAGCCGTCGCAACAGGCGAGCGCACCCCGAGCCGGGGCGGCACCGGTGGATCGGCCGGCCCCGACGCGGATCTTGCCAGGAAGGGCACGAGGCAGCCCGGAGAGGTTCGTGCCGGCGGCAGACAGAGCAAGAAAACGGGAGGAGGCAATCCGAGAGGCCGAGATGGATCGAGCGGCCGCGGCGGCGTCCGCGCACGCCGCACTACGCGGCACTGCCCAGGTTCCCTCACGCTCAGATTCCCTCACACTCAGATTCCCTCACGCTCAGATTCCGTGCAAGGGGGTGCCGAGGTATGCCGCAGGCCGGGATGGAGTGAGATCTTGCGGGGCAGGGCGTGGGCTAGTGCGCGAGGGCGCAGGCAAGTGCCCGAGGGGAAGGGGGTGGGCGCCACCCTGGGGCTACCCGTAGCATTGTCGGCTCAGTGATGGGTATCCAAAAGTTCAGGCGTACAGCGCTCAGGCGCCTGTCGTCTTTCGTCTTTTGTCGCATTTCGCACACGCGCACGCCGCGCGACCCGCGTCGCTCCGCGAGGGCATGAGCCTTCCGCGATTCGAACCCGCAGCCAAAAGCTGCTCGCTCGAACCGCGGCCGACTCCGCCATCGCGGCCGCAGCTGTCAAGCTCTCCAGAAGACTGGCGCCTGATATGCTGCCTCCCTGCGGATGCTGCCGGCGAGCCTGGCGGTCCGCTGTACTACAAGGAAGTGCTGACTCGATTTCTACTCGAATTCTTCTACCCCCACGACTCGGAACGCGAATGTGACAGGACCATCGGGTCCTTCAGCCTCCAAAGCGGGATCACCCGAGAGCAGCTGAGCCTGCCTCTGGCCTCGCCTCCCTCTCCTTCAGGCATTCGTGGCATCCTATGGGTCGTCCAGAGTATCGACCTCTGGCTTGTCAGCCGGTCACTTGATGACGACCATGAAGTACAGCGATCGCCACCTCGCTGGCCTCTCCGCAAGGCCTCCCGACCGCGTCGAACTCACGGCGCGGGCTCTCTCGGCTACGGGACCGGCCCCAGCTTCGGCTGAGGGCTAACAAGCTGCCGAGCCCAAATCACTGTGAGAGTCGTGATTTCTTGTTGGTTAATAAAAATCTCTCTCACACACACGCACGCACACACGTCCCAACTCCCCAGAAATCCCAAGGAGCCGTGCAGTGCCTAGATAATGTGTGTGCTGTGTGGTGCACGCCCTCCGAGCGGGGCGGGGTCTGCCCGTCGGGTTGCTGCCCTAATCCCACCAGGGGTTGTCTGCTCTATTTATTTATGTTGCCGACTGCACTCCAAGTGCTCCAAATGCGAAGGGGTCAGTGGCTCGTTGTGCGAGTAGAGCCGTATATGGGACACGATGTCTCAAATATGAGAGGTTTTGACTCCTACCGGCTCCTGACGCTATCCCTGGCAGCTCTAATGACCAGGATCAGTAGTGCTATGATAGAGGGTGCCCATACTAGCGCAGGAGCTGCCACACTCGCCCGGACCGGCTCCCTCTGGGGCCGGTTCCGCAGCCCGTGAGAGCCGACAGCGGGGCCGTGCCGCGGGTGCCTACTGCCGAGTGCCACAAACACTGCGCCGTCCCGCCATCACCTACAGGCTGTCTTGTGTGATGGTTGGGATGTCCAAACGCCACCATCTTGGTTCTTGCGACCTCAAACCCGCGAGCTGTATGGGTGGTCCTGACGTGGACAGACGCCCGATGACCACGGTGAAGCTGAGCCGTAACGAGTCGACAAGTCTCGTCTGAGCCCGTGGCGGTCGCCGGCTGAGTCGCTGTGCACGGGCCGGTACCTCAGGCGTCACCTCCGCAGCCTCAGGTCTCACACTCCATCACCGCCGCCGGGACGCCGTCGGTGGCACGCTCGGCGGCGTACTTTCTGCAGCTCCATCTCGAGTACGGCGTCGAGTCTACTCACTCCTGTTGGATCTGTGCACTCCCTGGGTCCCAGGGAGTGCACAGATCCAGCAAGCGGTGCGTCCCGGCAGCCCGCGCTGGCTGCGGAGCTGCAACAAACTGGAGACACGCTTTTTCGGACATTTTCGACGCTTTTGTCCCATATACTCGCACAACATGCCTCAGTCCTCATAGAAGCCGTCCTCCACAGAAGGCGTCGTCAGAATGGTAGTCAGGCGGATGGTCAAATCCGCGATCACCGTCGCAACTCCTCCTCCAGGGCCTCCTCCCAGAGGAGCACCCGCCTCCCTCACCCAATCCTCCCACCCTGGGAATGAATGGGACACCGCCAACAGAACCACGCCCAGCGTGCCAGCAGCGCAGCCCCTTCCGCTCCCCCGGCCTCGAACTCCGCCACCCAGCGCCGGGACCACCTCGTCACGCTCCTCGATCGAGAGCCGCCTAAACGCCGCCTCCGCGGCCGCCCCGCGCGCACCGAGGCCCTCCGGCCTCGACAAGAACAGCTCGACGGGGTCAGCGCCCGGGTCAGGATCGCCGAGATCGCGACGCATCCGCGCCGCAATCGCGTCGAGCTCCAGCCAGCGAGCGCTGCGAGCGGTACTGAGACGATGTGCTGGCGTAGCGCAGCAATCGCCTTTGACGAGCGGTTCTTGAACGCCTGCTCGCTCTTCCACGCAGGGCCAACGGCGGGGTTTTCGCCATTCACGTGCATGGCATTGGCCGCAAGCTGGGCGGCGTTGGTAGGAGGGACGCCGTGGGGGTCCATCCCGTCGAGGTGATCCGTCAGCGAAGCGTAGTCATCGGTCACGCCACCGACTCTGGGCCGGCGCGGGGCCCCCCGGAGGCACCGTGCGCCGCGCCGCAGTGCGGAAACGGGGCCCGGCTCTATTAGTCTCTATTAGCACCGACTTCCCGATTAAGCTAGGTTAATCAGAGGGCAGATTTGGAAAGATCTCGAGGAGTACATACAGATAGACCCTCCAACCATCAGAAAACTCCGACCTGATCGGTCGTACTGACGGCCGTCGCCGTCCAGGCCGCTCCCCTGGACTGGTATGAGGGCAGAGAGGTGACAAAGTGCCGCAACGGGCGGCAGCTCGACGGCGAGGTGGCGGCGGTAAGCGCCCGGGCGCAGCGGTTCACAATCGAGTGGCACGACGGCTCGACTGAGAAGGTGTCCGAGCGACGCCTCAAGGCGCTGCTCAAGCCGCCGCCGCGCGTCCCCGACCTACGCTACCTCCGGTCCTCCAAGCGGGAGAGCTCTTACCCGAGCAGCGAGCCCAGGATCGGGCCGCTCTACCAGGCGACGCTGCCGGCCGGCCCGCCCAGCCCGCCCGCTGTCCCGCCGCAGCCGGCGGCGCCGGCCTGCAGCTCTGGCCAGGAGGAGCTGCCTCCGCAGAAACGGCTGTGCGGATTAGAGCTGTTTAACATTAACTTTGTTGGCTGAAATCCTTAACGTTGTTCAAGTGTTCACCCCAGCCCATGCTGTTACTGTTTGTTACTGTTGTTACTGTTGTTCAGCGGCCAGCAAGCAGAACCAATGGCAAAACCCCCGGGTAAAACCCAAAAATACCTGGGTTTCCCCGGGTATTTCGGGTATTACGTGGCTGGGTTCACAGCGATTGTAGGAAAATGACGGGACCAAATCACGGTCGCGGCCTTCCGACTCGCGCCTCCGCCTCACTGGCACTATTGTAGCCCTGGCCGGTGCGCGTGCTCAGTTGAAGTTCCGGAGTGAAAATTCAAACGCGTTCTCTCACGGTGACCAACAAATGTCCACCTCAGAGGCACCTCCGGAGGCAGGCCGCCGCACGCCGGCGACACAGCTCCAGCTGTCGAACTGACCCGCAGCTCCTCTCAGAGCGGGAACTGTGACGAAAGTTGACTGAGGCGGTTGCCAGGAATCATCATACGGATCACATGGTGGCTCTCTCATGACGGGAGACCGCCCGACCACTCCTGGGTGGCACTGCCACCGGTGTCGCTCGACGTCCTGTCGACAGCGTGCCGACAGCGACACAGACCATGTGGGACGCGTCGAGTATCGACCTCTACTGCTTACCCAGCCTTCGAGTGTATCCTGGCTGTGGTCCCACACCCACTGGTGTCCATCTCAGAGACCGCAGGAGGTCATGAGGGTCGATGGGAGTGCCAACCCCACAATGCCTAAAAACCCAGCCCAGTAGCTATTACCCGCACTGGACGCTGGAGGTCGTCGTGGGTCACTGCCAGGCCTTCCTTATTGTTGTTCAGCCGGCCTAACGTTAGCTACTGTTGTTGGGGAGCCCCACTGTTGTTCTGTTGTTACTGTTAACACACTAGCAACACTGTTCAGCTCCCAACGTTAAAGCTTAAACAGCTCTAGTGCGGATCCTGACGCGTCGCTCGCACAGCTGAGAGGGAAAGACACGCACGTGCGGGTGGCCGTTATGAGAGTTGAGACCGGGCTGAAATGCACAGACATGAGATACACTAAGATCATCACACTTTACACTGCGTGCAAAAACCGTGTGTCGACGGGCCCCTGCGTGTGCGCCCTCTCTACAACTCGTCGTGCGCCTGCGCACGCGGGTCCACCACCTGGCGTCGTCGCGGCTCACTAGTGGGCTGCACTCGCTTTCTGGCCCTCCGCGCGCCCCGGTGACGCTGGCGCGCACTGGCGTCCGCATTCGCGTGCGCCTGTTTGCTGGCCTCGAGAGCACCGAGGAGCGCAGAGGCCTCGGCCGTGCCAGCAGAGTACTCGTCGAGCAAGACGGCCGGTAGATCCGTAGCCAAGCCAGCCGCCTTGCTGGAGTTGTCAGCCTTGCGCGCGCTCTCGTCGAGCCGTTGCAGCCGTTGCAGATGCGAACGCAGCTGTTGGTTGTTTTCCTGCAGCCTCTGGCGCCTCCGCTCGAGCGATTGCACCTAAAGTGTGGGCAATCAAACCTGGGGCGCGCTTGCACATGGGCAGGGACGGGGACGGAGACCCTGAGCCTGCTCGCGTTCCGCTGATGCCGACTGAGCAGGACGGCTGCCAGCGTGCCGGACCGGAGCCACCGGGGCGGCGCACTCTTCCACCACGAGGTCGGTGGCCAAATGCTGGAGGACGACGCGGCCCTGTGGCAATTCGCTCATGGCGCTTCGGTCCTCGAGGGGCGGCTCGCTTCCTGCCGGCGAGACCTTCTCGCCGCCCGCGGAAGTTTCGGAGGGCGGTGGGTCGAGCACCACGGTGACCAAATCGCCGGGCCAGACCTGGCGCACAAGCAACTCGCTGCTGCCCTCGTGCCGGTAGCCTCGCGGCACGAGGGTGCCAAGCCGCAAGTGGTGGGAGCCTACGTGTGCAAGGATGACAAGTGGAGAGCACTCCTGGATCGTCGCCCCGACGCTAACGGCGCGCGCCATTCCAACGGTACGCGGCAGCCCGCTGCGCGAGCCCAGAAGCAAGGAGCAAGAGGGAGCTCGAGTTGACGCCCTCCTGCGTTACGGAGCTCCCAGTGCGGAACGAGAAACGGGCTCATGGGGCGTGGTGAGCGCCCTCCTGTGCGCCGGTAGGCGGGTAGTCGGCGGCGGGACGCAAGTGGGCCTCGCAAGCGCACTGCGCGACAGAGACGACGCCCGCGACCAGCTCACGAACCAGCCTGCCGCGCTGCTGCTGCCGGCTCAAGCCCGTTGGAACCACCTCGCGCAGCCGCCACACGTGCCCAACCTACGGTTGAAGCAAGACGCACCTGCGGAGCAAGTCGAGGTCGCGGCGGAGTCGCCAGTCGTGCGTCACCACGGTGCCCTGCCCGAGGCGGGCCCCAGGGGGCACGACGCCGTAGCCCGTCTCCGTGCCGTCCTCGGCAGCATAGAACAGCTGCAGCGTCGCCGCGCCATCGTTTCGCACCGAGAGCTCCACCGTCTCATTGTAGCCGGGCGGGTTCACGCGTCGGCGCCTGACCGTGCCGTTGCCACTGCTTTGGAGGGCACAGCCGTGGTCGCTGTGGATCGAGGCGCAGGCCGCCGCATCGCAGGCCACGCGGCCGATCGAGGCGTCGCACGCCCGTGCGCAAGGCCCGTGCCGCATCCACGCACCGTTGGTCTCGCACTCACCAGCAGCAGCCCAGCGAGCGCACTTGGCGGCGGACCTTTCCGCACATGCAAGCGGGCACGCGCTGAGCATGTACTCTGCATTTTTGTCGCACTCCTCCGACTCAGCCCAGCGCACGCACGCCTTGAGCTTCCGACCTCCGCTCGCCTCGAGCTGAAATTTCCGCGAATCGCAGCGGGCCTGATCAGCATCGCACGGCAGCGGCAGCGAGGTGATGGCATCGGAGCTGCTGCACAGGCCCGGGCAGACGACCGACAGCGTGTGCGGTGCCGCTTCGCATTCGACTGACCGCTCCAAGCATTCGTTCCAGTCGCAGGCGCTCTTACAGTTTGATCGCATGTACTCGTGGTTTGCGGCGCATTCCCCGCTCGCAGCCCAAGCCGCGCAGTCGGACTCTGACGGCGTGGCGAGCGGCGCCACAGCGAGAGTCAACATACCTGAATGTGCGAAAGACAACGCACGCCACGCAGCGGAGCTGGGAATAGGACCGCCCAAGCGGCGTGGCGTGGAGCGGTTGAGCATCCCTCCGGGGGCCCCTCTGCGCCGGGGAGGCGTTGTTGGAGGCTAGGACGCAAGCGTCCGTCGCCCTTTTCAAACTCGGGGCCCACTCCGCTACCTACGCTCCGACCCGAATTTGGAGGGCCTAAAAATTTAAGGTGTTGCTGCGCAAAAGGGGTCGGACACAGGGCGCAGCTCATGCTAAGAGCTAGAAGGGGAGCTAGAGAGAACGACTACCCTGTCCCGTTATTGCGTACACCAACACCACAAAAGGAAGATGTGCAAAAGAAAAGTTCGCTGCTAAAGTACGGTGGAGACGCCCGAGGGTGGGCGACGGCTAGCACCACACTCCTCTCCTTAAAATCCCTGTGTGGTGGCGGCGTGCCGTCCTCTAATCCCTCCCTTGCGTTCTCTCTTTTCTTTCTTTCTTCCAAAGGCAATCCCCAAGCAAAGGCAATCCTGGGGGGCGCCCCCCCAAGTTGCCCCCCAAGGCAATCATGGAACTTGGGGCCAAAAAAATTCTGCGACGGCTCGGCACTCGGCGAGGTGGATGGGTTGGGAGCGAGGGGGCGCAAGTGTTCTCTTCTTGAGCACTTGAGCACTTGATAGGGTCGATTCCGCATGGTACGGGACCCCTCGATGGTGGTGGGAAAAAAACTCGGCCGCGGCTTACATTTAACTCCCGGGCACAACTTTGTCGACAAACAGGTTGAGGAACATTTCGGCGAAGAAGCGGCACTGGCTGCACGCCGGGATGAACCCGGACCGATCACATTGTGCCGAACCGCGGCGGCGAGCCGCCGCGGGCCCACAGAAGGGCTGGGAGCCGCGGCACTAGACCGCGCCGCCAGCGGGGCGAGAGCACGCCCACAACATGCCGACATGGCAGTTGCGATGGCGCTTTCACACAACACACACACACACACACACAGAGGCAGAAAGAAAGAAAGAAAACAGACAACCCAAGGGAGGGATGGGAGGACGGCACGCCGCCGCCACACGGGGATTATCCGCCGATAACGATTGGGATGGGGCCCCAACTCGTGGTAGGCCACTAGTTTATCGTAGGGTACTCACGGATACCTCTCCTGAGTCCCTCTCGTGTGCCCTCGCGCACATCGCATGCGGTCTTCACTCAGCCTCCGCTGCTGTGAACACCAAACTTGCACTTCAGCTGGCGCGCGCTTTCGCCGCCTACTTTCGCGAGCGCGCTTGGCCCTTGCTCCTCATGCGCGGCGCTCTCGCTGCGCTCTCTCCCTGCTCATGGGACCTGATGCCGCGCCACCTCTGTGGCCGCTCCATCCTCTCTGACGGCGCCAGCCCTCCGGCTGCGCCATCTCTCTTTGGTTAATGTATCACACCTCACGGTGCTGATGCTTGGTTCATTTGGAGAAGCCGAGATAAACTACCTCCTGTATCGGGGTTATGTGGGGGGTTTACGAGGTGTGAACGTGAACAGAGTAGCCAGATCGCTGTCGATCGTTACGGCACGCATGGGGGGTCTCCCGGACGTATGATCCTAGCCCAATAAGCTCCACGGAGCAGATTTGGATTTTTGACAGAATTAAATGCACTGCCCCTACACGGTACTAACGATCGTAGTTTTGGGGGCGGCGCCCCTCACGGCACCACACTGACGCAGGACAGCCCGAGATTAGCCTAGCAGTGACTGGGAATCGCCTGCCGGTCGGCTTGGCACGAGCCAAGCACTTGGGTGGCCGTCAACCGAGTCCGAGCGGCGCCTGAGGTGGGTGCCACGGCGTCCGCACGAAGGCGTGGCGGGGTGAGGAGCCAGGGGTGGTGAACACCTCCCCGACGGGCGCGCGGCGCGCCGGATGGTCCGCCGAGGCCGCCGCCGCCCCGGCGGCGGCGATGGGGGCGGCGGCGCCGATCCGGCCGGCGTTTGTCGGCTCCACCTACAGAAGAGCAGTCTCTGTGGGTCGACGATACTAACTCGGTAGTAACGCTGAGCGGTGCTGTGCGACGCCGCGTCGTGCGCGAGGCGACCTCCTGAGGCTACCTGAGCTGGCAATGGATGCCACCAGGACGCACGGCTAGCAGGAGCCAGTCGGGCATGCCCTGCTGTGGAGCAGAGCCTGCTGGCGCACCGGCGATACTAACTCAGCGCGCCGCGAGAGGCGAATCTGGGCGACTTTGGAGGCGCAGTTCTCGAGGTTGCCGTCGACGATTGATGTCGGGTAACTTGTCACTGCCGTCCGGGAAGCTCTTCTCTCAGCAGGCCGAGCGCCGTGGCATCGCGCTGCTCGCAGCGCTGTTAGCGGCGCCGAGAACCCCCAAAACTCGCGAGACCTCGATACTAACAAAGACTACTATACTGGAGGTAGTACCGAATACGGTACTTTTTTTCTTTAACATTTTACACCGAGTTTCTTTGTTTGCATCTCCGACATGTCGCATGTTCGCGTGCGCGTCGTGTCTGTCGGGCCATTGCCTCTGCGAGCGCTTGCGTTGAACAGTGCGGCAGCGCGGCGGGGCGTGGGCGTGCTGGCAGGGGCCTGCGCAGGCGGGGGCGTGCAGCGGGGGCGTGCAGCCACGGCCCTGCAGCGGGCGGCGGCACGGGTGCAGCCACTGGGGGCGGTGCGGCTGCGGTCGAGCAGCGCGGAGGAGGATATGGATCCCAAGATCAAGGATCTTGTCGACCAGATCGCCTCTCTTAGCCTCCTCGAAGCGGCGCAACTCACCGACGCCCTCAAGGCACGCGCCATCACCGCCAAGCATTCACGGCCGCAAGCACACGCTCAACACCACCAGCACTATCGCCGCGGCCGCGCGCCGGACCACCTACGCCGACCCACCCTTCAACTCCCGCCGCCGCGGCCGCCTCCCTCCCCTCCCCCTCCCCTCTCGAGCCCTGGACAGGGAGTCTGCTCACAGGAGCGTCACGGCGCCCAGTCTCCCTCTCCTCTCACTCTCCCTCACCTCCACCCGCGTAATCAGGAGCGACTCGGCATATCAGACGCGATGATGATGCCGGCAGCGGGCGCTGCGCCGGCGGCGGGTGCGACGCCGCCGCCGGCAGCGGAGGAGGCGGCAGCGCCAGAGAAGACGGCGTTTAGCGTCAAGCTGGAGAAGTTTGACCCCGCCAGCAAGATTAAGGTGCGCGAGGAAGGGAGGGTTCAACCCGGCGCGAAGACCACTTGGCGCTCACGGCTGCGCGCACGCGACACCACCCAGCGCCGCCCGCACACAGCCCACCTTCTCCCGTCCACCGGCTTGAGCTCGCGGGATAGCTCCGTGGGGCTTCGGGCTGAGGCAGCACGGAAGAGCGCCCATTGCGCTCAAAGTGCCCGCCGCAGTGCATACGAGTTGTGCTCACGCAACAATCCCCCCCCCCCCCACCCACCCACCC